TTTTTCTTTATTAAACTCAATGACCTGATTCATAGAATTTTATGAAAAATATTAAGAAAGAACAGAAATTTAGTGTTCTAGCAATGATACTCTCACTAAGAAAGCACACTCTATTAAAAATGTAAAATATTAAAATACAGAAATCGTTGGATGATGGTGGCACACATCTTTAATCCCAGTACTCAGGAGGCAGAGGCAGGTGGACGTCTGTGAGTTTGATTTCAGCCTGGTCTACAGAGCTAGTTACAGGATAGACTCAAAAGCTACAGAGAAATGCTGTCTCTGAAAATCAAAAAGAAAAAAGAAGACACAGTAATCAGCCGCCATAATGAGGCTTTCTTAGCAGTGCACACAGTTTTGCATTGAGGAGCTGTGGTGCTCTTTGGTTAACCCGACTTCTCTCTCATGTCTCAACTTACCCATCTTTTCTTAAGAAACACCTCTGCTGACCTCATTAAACTGCTCATATGTCAGAATGTGCCCTGTCTTTAATTCTATGCATTAGAGCAAGCATTTATTTATTGAAGGGCTATTTGATTTTATTTTACCTTCACAAATATATTAATCTTGTTTGAGGGAATGATATTTTTAAGGCATGTGTCTGAATATTGACAATAGAAATCAGAGAATACTCTGGTCCTACTACACTCTGAGATGGGTTGGGGAGAGGGTATCCATGACAATAGGAAAGCATAGATATGAGTTGGTGGGAGAGCAGATTTTCAGGGGCACATTGATAACTCGTCAATGAAAAGCATGGAAAAAAATTGAGACACAATTGATGTTTTCTTTTTTTTTTTTAAATCTGGCTGATCTCTTACTTTATAAGTAAGGCTGAATTCAATCCTATGGTAAGCTTTATGCCTCAGCTACGTCGGGGCTGGAAAATACAAGGGTAAACACCTGTCCTAAATCCTGGGTCATTTGGTATAATGCTCAGTATACTTTGGGAAATCACCTGATGTGGCAAGCAGAGAGTTAGATATGAAACTGTGAGGATAAATCCTTGTTTGTAAAATTTTAATTTTATGACTGAAGCTAAAGATTCTGTCTCTGACTTAACTGAGGATCTTAAGGATTAAATTGAATAATTTCCCTCATCTGCAAGAATCCTTCTGATGACTTGCTCTTCTCTCTTCCAGGAGATGAGTGTCAATTGCTCCCTGTGGCCGGAGAACAGCTTGTCTGTCAAACGCTTTGCATTTGCCAAGTTCTCTGAGGTCCCTGGAGAGTGCTTCCTCCTGTTCACCCTCATCCTCCTCATGTTCTTGGTGTCGCTGACAGGCAATGCACTCATAGCCCTTGCCATCTTTACCAGTCCAGCCCTGCACACACCCATGTACTTTTTNAAAAAATACCAGACCGAGAGATAAATGAGTAGGCTGAATGTGAAATATTTGAGGAACATGAGGTTGAACTCCAGAGGATATAATGGGAAGTAACAGGCAGAATATCTAAGGAGGCAGAGTAAGGTAAACACTGAAACTTCTCATTACATGAGAATTTACGGTTTGTTAAAATGGCAAATGTAAAAAGAAGAAAAGTGAAGTCCGTACACAGTCTCTGTATAAGGCTGTACTCAGAAGGAAATGAGAAGCAATCACCACCACAGTGGTAGATGCTATTTTAGCAGTTTTAGTGTGAAAAGCGTGGAATATTGCTGCTAGGTGGAAGAGTTGTGTGATTTACAGAAAAAAAAAAGACAAAGTTATGCTGGAACTGAAGAGTTTACCAGACAAACAATGAAGCAAGGACACAGAAGCCTCCCAGTGAGAAAATGAGCAAAGAGAAAATGAAGTGGATAAATACTACACATGCAAAATGCAAGCAATTTGATAGGATTGTAATATGAGGTCCATTGAGTGAAAGGTTAAAGAGAAATTCCTGCCATGTGGGGCACGATGACTTACTGTGGGAATCCCACCATTCAAGAGACTGAGGCAGGGAAATTGGGAATTTGATGCCAGCCTGTACTACATACCAAGACCACATCTCTTTTACTTTTTTTCTTTATTAAACTCAATGACCTGATTCATAGAATTTTATGAAAAATATTAAGAAAGAACAGAAATTTAGTGTTCTAGCAATGATACTCTCACTAAGAAAGCACACTCTATTAAAAATGTAAAATATTAAAATACAGAAATCGTTGGATGATGGTGGCACACATCTTTAATCCCAGTACTCAGGAGGCAGAGGCAGGTGGACGTCTGTGAGTTTGATTTCAGCCTGGTCTACAGAGCTAGTTACAGGATAGACTCAAAAGCTACAGAGAAATGCTGTCTCTGAAAATCAAAAAGAAAAAAGAAGACACAGTAATCAGCCGCCATAATGAGGCTTTCTTAGCAGTGCACACAGTTTTGCATTGAGGAGCTGTGGTGCTCTTTGGTTAACCCGACTTCTCTCTCATGTCTCAACTTACCCATCTTTTCTTAAGAAACACCTCTGCTGACCTCATTAAACTGCTCATATGTCAGAATGTGCCCTGTCTTTAATTCTATGCATTAGAGCAAGCATTTATTTATTGAAGGGCTATTTGATTTTATTTTACCTTCACAAATATATTAATCTTGTTTGAGGGAATGATATTTTTAAGGCATGTGTCTGAATATTGACAATAGAAATCAGAGAATACTCTGGCCCTACTACACTCTGAGATGGGTTGGGGAGAGGGTATCCATGACAATAGGAAAGCATAGATATGAGTTGGTGGGAGAGCAGATTTTCAGGGGCACATTGATAACTCGTCAATGAAAAGCATGGAAAAAAATTGAGACACAATTGATGTTTTCTTTTTTTTTTTTAAATCTGGCTGATCTCTTACTTTATAAGTAAGGCTGAATTCAATCCTATGGTAAGCTTTATGCCTCAGCTACGTCGGGGCTGGAAAATACAAGGGTAAACACCTGTCCTAAATCCTGGGTCATTTGGTATAATGCTCAGTATACTTTGGGAAATCACCTGATGTGGCAAGCAGAGAGTTAGATATGAAACTGTGAGGATAAATCCTTGTTTGTAAAATTTTAATTTTATGACTGAAGCTAAAGATTCTGTCTCTGACTTAACTGAGGATCTTAAGGATTAAATTGAATAATTTCCCTCATCTGCAAGAATCCTTCTGATGACTTGCTCTTCTCTCTTCCAGGAGATGAGTGTCAATTGCTCCCTGTGGCCGGAGAACAGCTTGTCTGTCAAACGCTTTGCATTTGCCAAGTTCTCTGAGGTCCCTGGAGAGTGCTTCCTCCTGTTCACCCTCATCCTCCTCATGTTCTTGGTGTCGCTGACAGGCAATGCACTCATAGCCCTTGCCATCTTTACCAGTCCAGCCCTGCACACACCCATGTACTTTTTCCTGGCCAACTTGTCTCTCCTGGAGATTGGCTACACTTGCTCTGTCATACCCAAGATGCTGCAGAGTCTTGTGAGTGAGTCCCGAGGGATCTCTCGGGAGGGTTGTGCCACACAGATGTTTTTCTTCTCATTCTTTGGAATAACTGAGTGCAGTCTATTGGCAGCCATGGCTTTTGACCGCTGCATGGCCATATGCTCCCCCCTCCACTATGCAGCCCGAATGAGCCGTGGGGTATGTGACCATTTGGCAATGGTTTCATGGGGAATGGGATGCATAGTAGGGTTGGGACAGACCAATTTTATTTTTTCTTTGGATTTCTGTGGGCCCTGTGAGATAGACCACTTCTTCTGTGACCTTCCACCCCTCCTGGCACTTGCCTGTGGAGATACATCCCAAAACGAGGCTGCTGTCTTTGTGGCGGCAGTACTATGCATATTCAGCCCATTTTTACTGATCATTTCTTCCTATGTCCGGATTCTGATTGCAGTGCTGGTGATGCCTTCACCCGAGGGACGCCATAAAGCTCTCTCTACCTGTTCCTCACACCTACTTGTAGTCACACTCTTCTATGGCTCAGCATCTATTACCTACTTGAGGCCCAAGGCTAGTCACTCACCAGGAATCGATAAACTCTTGGCCCTCTTCTATACAGCGGTGACATCTATGCTGAACCCCATCATCTATAGTTTACGGAACAAGGAAGTCAAAGCAGCCCTGAGGAGATCTCTGGGCCTGAGAAAGTTCTGACGATGAATAGGCAACTGCTGTAGTCAAGAATCACGAAGAGTTGCTCTTTGAGAAGGTTGCAAAACCTGCCCAAGTAAGCAAAGTAAAACTGGTGTGCTCTTTCAGGCTCTCTTTTTTGTTAATTTATTTTTTTTATTTTATTGATTTTCAGTGAGCTCTACATCTTTAACAACCATCTTTTTAGAGTATTCTTTTTACTCAGCACTATTTTTTAATTGCAAATAATGGAAAAATGTTTGCTACTGAAGAATTTTGGTAGTTAGTCCAATACTTAAATACTTTGGTCTAGACGGTGTTTAGATCACCTGATGACATCCTTGAAAATTCTATGTATACATTTTTGGCCACTGCCCAGCCCCTCATACACCTGTGACTTCTGAATTTATACAACTTCCCACAATATTTCACTTAATTCCTTAATAATTCTAAGAAGCAGGGTATTTTCTCGCATAAAAATTCTTTAAATTCTTTAGGTGTAGTTATAGGCACATAGGACTAGAATTGAATAGTTCTTTCATGAATTTTGCTTATAAAACTTATAAACATCCCAATAAAGCAAACTCTCAACTTTTGAAACTATGTTCTCCAAACAAAGAAAAAGTATGAGAAACAAATGTTAATTATTTTCTGTTATGTAAATTTTTTAAAGAAAGTATTAGTTACTTTACAGAAGAAAATAAAGTAAAATTCACTTAATATTTTTAAGATTTTCTAAAATTTATAAATTTATATGTGTGCAGATGAATCTTGACTCATACATTTGGAGATCCTACAACAAATTACTTCTAAGTGATCTCAGCTTGTTATGCTACAATTCCGTGTTCCTTAGCACATGTGAACTCATTGCATTGGAAAATTGCATTAGAAAAGCTAGTTATCAGGGTTGTGATGTATTCACATTTGCTACGTGCACCATTAGGTCAGTCCTCACTCCAGGTTTTGGTCACCCATGGCCTTGTACTGAGAAGCAGAGAAGTAGCTTCTCCTATGCTAAATGATTGCTAGGTGAGTAGAAGAGAAGAAGCCCAGCCAGGTGATTGTCAACATAGTTTCAGATAAACACACATATAAAATATATACATTTTATGCCTTATATAATTATTGAAAAAATGAAGAGGAAGACTGAAATGGCAGAAATATCTTTTGGGTGATACTAGTCAGCATTCCACCTGTGTCTTCCACCTGCGTGAGATGGATCTAAAAGTGATACAAGACTAATGTAAAATGTCAGCTAGTGCCAGATAAGTTGATTCTGGTTGTCTTCACTAAGAAAAGAAACCAGAGCTTCTT